GGATTATATGCAGCGTTATGTGGGTCACTGCAACATCACAACGGACATTAAGGAAGCCAACTATCTAGGCAGCCAAGGCGAGTTCATAGCCGCCGGCTCGGATGATGGCAATCTGTACATTTGGGAGGGGGATACGGGCAAGATCCGATCCGTTTATCGGGCGGACAGTGCCATTGTCAATTGCGTGCAGCCGCATCCGAACATCTGTATGCTGGCCACCAGTGGCATTGACCACGACATCAAGCTCTGGTCGCCGTGCGCCACCAGCGCCGAGGAGCGACCCAATCTGGTGGCCGATGTGACGAGATTCGTGGAGGATAATCAGCAGAAGATGCGCACCGACCCGTTCGAACTGCACACGCGCAACGCGTACTGTTTTAACAACTGAGAACTGTAGCTTAATGTGTATCTAGATCTAAATCTGCACTGCCTTGTGCAGCGAGCGAGATTCAACCCGGCAATATATCAAATACTAGTGTAATTTAAGCTAAGCGAACATATTTTTGTTAATTTGTAAACGAACTACTGTATACAGAGTATAATGCTAATGGAGATGAGTATGTTATGGAGGACTTTAAAAATAAATACGAAGAAATTGCAAATCGTACCGCTTTCAAGTCGAAATTCAATGAAAAGCTAAGGGGAGGATTTGAACCTTTGTTTTTGGAATTATTCTGTTTATTTACCGTAGTTTTTTAAATCTATGCTCACATGTATACATATACATACATATAAATATCTTTTACTTTATGTAATAATATTCAAGTATAGTTTTTACTCAAGTTTTATTTTTCTTTCTATCGATTCTTACTCTTTTTTTAACTAAGTAGAATTGATAGCTTCACATGAAACGTTTTCTTTTCGTTAGTTATTAAAATATATCTCGTGTATATTGAAAAATTTGAAAATAGGCCGCGTATGTCCACACACAAAAATTAAAGTACAATTTTGCATTTGTTTCTATTTTATTGTTTAAGTTTAGATGAAAATGAGTTTTGTCTGTCTGGAGGCGTGGCATGTCTGGGGTTGTAGTTAGTGGCTTAAAAACTAACCGAATGTGTTGTAATATTCGCGCCCGTTGTGGCTTTTTCCTTCTACTTGCACATTTCACACTATATTTATAATTATCTTTATATATTTTTAATGAATCCTTTTTTAATTACTTTACAAAAGTGCGTTTTTTGTTTTGTTTCGTTTTCTTTAGGGGCTGTCCATATCGTTTCATTTATACAGAGTGGTGTGTTTCGTTTCTTGTAGTTGTTAATAATATATTACAAACTATTTTATGCAGAAATCAAACGAATACAAAATTCAAATCAAGTTCTGTGGGGGCGTCGGTAAGTGTTGTTGTTCCTTTTCTGGTTTTGCAAATCGGAAGGTCAGATGTGAATGAGTGGGTGTGTGGGAGTGGGCGGGTGGATTTGGCCACCACCTTTACTTTACAGGCTAATCATTTGAATCTGTCAGCTTTGTGTGGTTGTCTGTTGGTGTTCATCTTCCTCCTAGTGTACTCTTACATGAATTTGTATACCAAATGTTACGTTTTCTCTTTCATCTCTGTTTGGAATTTTGTTTTCTTGCATACATATAAGTTTCTTATAGTTGGTTGTTGTTATTTTTATGTATTTTTGTTTTTTTTCTTGTTTGTTTTATTGTTTAATACCATCAACCCTCCCGCTTTATTGAACTGGGTGTCTCTGCCAGGCCTTTCACTTTGAGGCGATCGGCGGTCTTAAGAAATGCTGGCAACTGTTCCTGGGACACGTTCACCTCGCCGGCGTACATGAACTCCAGTATAGCCTGTAGGTGGATGTAGGAGACATCTTTCAGGATGATAATCGGGTGCTTAGACGGGTTCTCCTGTGGATAAAGATCAAACATTAGTGGGTTGCTTATTTATCAAGCCACAAACTCACCTCTAGTAGCGCTTTGAAGTAGGGACTGCAAGCCGAAAGCACCATTTTGTGGGCTTTGCAGGTTTGGCCCTCGCAGGCGAGTGTAACCTGTAAGGAACAAGCATCAAGAAATCAGTTTAATCCGTTAGGCATTTCCCCCCTAAAAACCTCCAACCAGAGCACCCAAAATTATATAGAAAACGCAAAGCGAACAAGAACAAAGAAACAGGTAAAAGAAAAATGTGTAGAAAAGAGCATGAGGGCCAGGTAGTCAGACGAAGTGAGCTGAGCCGGTGACTGACCCTCCACAAGGGGCGGCCGAGAGCTAATCGGGCCAAGAGTAGTAGTAAACCTCAGCTCGCCCCTGAGTGTGGTCAATTACAGGCGAAGTTTTTTAGTTGAAAGTGGTTTTTGAAAGCGAAAAATCTAACTTTTGCATACCTCATTTTGTTTTTAAACTGATTAGATTTAATTGTGTTGATGTCAAAATAACGTGTTGACACTGAAATATGTACTATTCAGAATATTTACTCGCATAACAATTAGAATTTTGTGTTTTTTTATGTAAAAAAAAAGAAAATAGGTTCTATGCAATACAAAATATTCTGCAAATTTTTGAAATAAAAAAGAAGTGCACTCAATGTCACTTTCAAACTTAAAATTCTAAAGTTCTGGAATGGAGAGGTCTGTCTATAACTACATTTTGGTAGCGATTTTCCCATCGCATCTGAGAAGGTTCTTTCGGGTACTCACATCTGTGAAGCTCTTCTCGTCGCGCAAGTGACGGAACGAGGTCACCATATTCGTTTGAAAATCGTTCCATTTCAGAAAGAACTGTTGATCCGACGACATCATGAAGAAGCTTTTGTTGGTGGGGGCGTCGCTCTGTGGACTTAATTCTGTGGGCAGGAGGCTTAATTTGGACTATTGGCCGAAAGGTTCACCGTTGGATGGGCTTAATTCGCACAGCAGACCACTTAATCCGTGGGTTTTCGATTGGGTTTACTTGTCCGCACTCTGCAAGAGAAATAAACACACAGCATTAGTGGATGGCGAAACTAAAAAACAAAACAAACAAACAAACAACAGCTTGGCGAAATTAGCAGCGTTACGAGAGTCGGGTCGGGTTTAGAGAATTGCAAAAGAGCACTACTGCAGCACTACCGAATATCTCTCGGCCGAAAACATTCTCAAGATAAAAGTGCTGCGGCGCATGTGCAGCGTTTGTGTGATGGAAATGGGAATTCGTATGGGAATGTGTCTGTGTGAGCGAGCTGGAAAATGTCAAAGTGCTGAGCCAGCGCTGGGTAACAACAACAAACAGCTCTGCCCGCAAAGGTTAAGCAAAGAGGCAAAAATATCAAATCCAAAATGCTAGCTCGCTCGCTCGCTCTGTTGAATGCCTTTCACTTTTCAAGGCAATTTCTGCATTTTCAGTAATATGCCTCTTGCTTATTTGAATCCGAGTGCGGCACAGTGGCTCAGAACGCGGGATTGATCTGTGGCACTCGCTGCAGCTGCCGGATGGCATTTATTTTTAGTTGCACTACTCCATTAAAAATAACAATCATTCCGGGGTTTTTAGGATCCCTAAGAACCAAGATGGCGGCTGCATTTGCACTTCCATTGAGTTGTATTTTCTTGTGTGTTCACTCCACTCCCACTCCATTGCGTCCCACTGTGCGGCCAACATGTGTTTTCCTTCTTGCGGAATAGCATTGTTGTTGATGCGACTTTCATGTGCGCTACACTTTGCGGTCGGCTGTGTGTTTGTGTGGGCGGCGGAGAGAAGGGCATCCAGAGTTCATCAGAGCCTAAGCTTACACAGTCCCTCTCACTCTCTCGCTCACTCACACTCACGCGATTACTTTGGCTAAGCGCTCTCAACTTTCAACTGCCGTTATGATTTCGCAATTACATTACAACAACAACAAAAACGCAGAGCAGACATCGCTGGAAATTTCAGCCGCATGTGTGTGTGTGTGTGAGGGAGGGAGGGAGGGAGTGAGTGTCGGCGGCGGCAACTATCTCGCTTGCTCTTGCGCCCGGGGTTATCGGTAGCTTCTTCTAGGCCGAGTGCATTTCGTTGAATCGTGGATGTTGAAAGTTGTCTAATTTCCGAACTATTGATTTTTCCCCTTCCTTTTCCCCGTCAAGAAATTGCATTGCATTGTTGTTGTTGTCGTCGCTGCTTCTTGAATACCAGTTTTGGTAACAACAGAAGAATGGAAAGGAGCGAGTGAGGCGGCGGTGAGTAAGTAAGCGAGCGACGGCAGCAACAACAACAACAACAAACGTTCGAAACGAGTTCCAACGAAAGTTGCAACACTCTCAAAAATTTGAGTAGCTCTTATTGTTGTTATTGCATTACTCAATCGGGAAGAACTCTACACTCGGCGGAAAAGCGTGTCAGTCTGGGGGTATCCATTTTCTTTTTTCTTGTTTTTCTGCCTAGACAATGGCGGCGGCGGCAGCGGCGTCCCTTCAATTGCACCGCCTTTGTTTATGCAAATATTATTGTAATATTCGGTTAAAATTAGGTCGCGCTTTGCGTTACTTTTTATTTCATATACACGCAGCAGCAGCACGCATACAGTCGCGTCACGTCACACACACACACAGCCGCCGTTCACATACACTTGTCTTTTTTCCACACACTTTCCTAATCATTTTATTTCTTTTTGTGCGCTACTGCTTTTTACTCGGCGTGTACTCTGTACTTTTACCAATGCGTAAATCGCCTGCTAGCCGCCGCAGGAGCACGCTAATTGCGCCGTGGACACGTTTTTTCTAGATCTTTTTGTTTCAATTTTAATACATACACGCTTCTTTTTTTTTGTCCCGCACTCGACTCACCTCTGCTTTCTCGCTAACGCTGCTTTCTTTTTTCTCTTTCACCGATTTCGATTTTCGATATCTCGATTTCTCGATATGAATCGGACCTACTTCGATTGTTTTCTTTGCTTAATAAATGTGTGTAATTAATTAACAGATAAATTTTCAGTTTATTTTTTATTGCAACAACTTATTACTTACAAAAAAATATTATTTATTGACTGCAAAAAAGTCCTTTAAACATTTATCGATTCTAAACACTATCGTTGGGCAGCATTCAGCTTTTGTCTGCTTGCAAACGTTCTTTAGAGGAATTACAAAATGTTGAAGACCTCGCGTTTATATAAAATTTTAAATAAAAATGTTTCTTTGACATTTTCGAGACTGCAAAATACGGCTGCCGAGGTGGGCCAGAGTTCCCGGCAAAAGGCATGGCTGCAGGCTAGGGAGCGGTACAAGGATCATGAGCACGTCCATTACAGCTCCGTTTTGGAGACCAAAATAAAGTCACATTTCTCAATTCCTGAGGCTCCACAGCCATTTCCCGAGGACTGGATGGAGGATTACGAGTTCTACAAGGGCGCACAGAAAGGGGCGGACAAAAAGGGTACTCCGGATGCCTCGATTTCCCCCTCAACAGTTCCCTGCAACGGCTGTGGCGCCAATCTGCATTGCTCCAGTGAATCTCTTCCTGGCTATATACCCAGTGAAATATTCAAAGGAAGGTCGCACCAGGAGCTCCAGACCATCACCTGCAAGCGCTGCCACTTCCTGAACCATTACAACATTGCCCTGGACGTGGAGGTGGCCCCATCGACCTATGTGGAGACCATTTCCCGCATTCAGGACAAATTTGCCTTGGCCATTGTGCTGGTGGACCTGCTGGACTTTCCCAGTTCCATCTGGCCAGGAATGCAGCATGTGCTGGGCACAAAGCGACCCGTGTTCCTGGTGGGTAACAAGGTGGATCTGCTGCCACGCGACTCCAACATCTATATGCAGCACATTAAGGATTCCTTGACCCGCGAATTCGTTAAGCTCGGCGGCGGAGATGGGCTGAATATTAAGAACGTTAGTCTGATATCCGCCAAAACGGGCTATGGCATCGAGGAACTAATAACGCAACTGCACAAGACGTGGGCCTACAAGGGGGACGTCTATTTGCTGGGCTGCACCAATGTGGGCAAGAGTTCTCTGTTCAACATCCTGCTCAACTCGGACTACTGCCGCCCGGAGGCTAGTGACCTGGTGCGCAAGGCCACAACTTGTCCCTGGCCGGGAACCACGCTGAAACTGCTGCGGTTTCCCATCCTGCGTCCATCCAATGATCGCATCTACCTGCGCTTCAAGAGGTTAGTTTCGGAGCGCAACGATAAGGCATTGATGGAGAAGGAACGTCGCGCAGTGGCAAGGGAAACGGGAGCAGCGGCAGCTGCCCAACCAGTGGCCACCGTCGGACGCACTTTCGATCGACGTGATGATGTCAACGATGCCTTCGCCATGGCCGGTGGCACAAAGCCCATTACAACGCTGAACGATCGCCAGAAGGACTACAAGGAGGCGCGTTGGGTCTACGACACTCCCGGAGTGATGCAGCCCGATCAATTGACTCCCTTGCTCACCGCCGAAGAACTGGTCAAGCTGCAACCGAGCACAATGATCCGCCCCAGAGCTTTTCGCCTGCGTCCCCAAATGAGCATCCTGTTGGGAGGCCTTGCCCGCTTGGATCTTTTGGAGATAACGAGCTCAAAGAAACAGTTTGACTGGTTGAAGGTGTTTGTATTTGCCTCGGAGAATCTTTCTGTGATGATAGCAGACACCCAGGCGGCGGAAAACGTGTACAAAAGGTATCTGGGAACTCCGTTTCTGGGCGTCCCCATGGCCGGTGAGGATTTGCAGACTCGTCTGCATCGTTGGCCAGGATTGCAGTGCAAAGACAGCGACATTGTACTGACGAGCGAAGGGAGGAATGAGGGAAGGCTAAACTGTGATATTACACTCAGCTCTGCCGGCTGGATGGGATTCCTCCTGCCAGGGCATTCCGAGTGCCGTCTGCGGGCCTGGACGCCACATGCAGCCGGCATTTATAAGCGCGAACCTGCTCTAATTCCCCTGGCCGATCGGTTGGTGGGCAAGCACATTAGGTATTCCCTGGCTTACAACACCACAAAGCCTTTCGTTTTCAAAAAATAAATATTGAATAAGTTGTTTGTTACTTAAAAATGTTTTATTTTAAATTATGTTGAGTCCCTTGATTTATAAATTTATGAAAATGATTTCTTTTAGATCTTTAACGCACATGAGGCATTTTTGTATAAAACCATAATGTTCAAATTGCATTGGCGCCAAACATCCGGGTAAGAGCCTTGCTTTTAACACTTTTCAACACTGGCCGCTACACCTTTTTTTACGAGATGGCAACGACCGGCCTCAAATCAGAGCTGCCAAATTTGGATCAGAAAAAAGCTGTTTCTGACTGTAACGATAGGTAAAAGACTGAGCAGTATGAAACCATGTTATTATCATTTAGCACCTTTATGATCGATCAGGTCAAATTCGGTCATACATCATTGTATTTCAAGATTTTGTAATGTTTGTAACAACCATATAAAGATAATGGCTAGCACTGTGTTGTTCTAAGGCTAAGCGAATTCATTAATTTTGATTTGATCATATGAATCTCTCTGAAATCTAACTACTACGATTAACGTTGTCTATACATTGTACATTATATTTTCACCATTTGCGCCGTGTTTAAATAATTGTAAGTTAGTAATTGGTAGCGACCAAAAATGTGTGACATATTTAAATAGAAATCCCCAATTCCCGCCATATCCAACACTTTCCCGCTGATGGTCCTCAAAAGAAGCCAAAACTGTCGGAAAAAAAGCGCAATCGGCAGCTCCGCCGCAAGTATCCACTTTTTCACGGGCAACAAATTGACAAAGAATTTGTAAAATAATTTCCTGTGGCGATTGCAGGTTGCGCAAAAGCCACTGGACTAAAAATCAGGGTAGAACTGAGTTTAGACCGGAATTAGAGCATTGCAGACACCGCGAATATTGTGCAATTTGCGAAGTGCGACGCACCAAACTTTTTTCTCGTATGCTGTGAGCTGCGAGGAGGCGGAAATCGGGAGTAGGGAATCCGAAATCGGGAATCAGAAGAAGGAGACGGGGGAAATGGAGCAGAACTCAAACACGAGCGGCGCCGCGGAGACCTTCGCGGAGTCATCTGCTCCGGATGGGGAGTACGGCATTGAGAACTGCTCCGTATCCGGAATGTCGGGCAGTGACACCGTAAGCGCCAATCACGAGTTCCAGACCATGAAGCCGGGTCCCGGGGTGGTGCACAAGCTTCCTCCGGTGGCCAGTACCACTGGCACGGCGACAAATGGACGCACTCGAGCCGAGCTGCCGCACAGCGAGCTGGTGAAGATGTTGTATTACCTGGAGGGCGAACTGCAGGCACGGGATGTCTGCATTGCTGCCCTGAGGAACGAGCGGGTGAAGCAGCTCATTGCCCAGCTGCGCACCAAGCGACTGCAGCCCAACGATCCATATGCGGCCATATTCCGGGATAAGATCGCCCTCAATGGGAACCTCATCTCCAGGGAGTCGTCCACACAGGCGGCGCAGGCCGAGATGGAGGTGCGCCAGATCATCGAGCAGCAGATGGAGCAACAGTATCAAATGGTCAGCAAGCAGAGGGCCACGCATGTGCGCATGGTGAACATACTGACCGAATCGCTGGAGAACAACCAGCGGATGCTGCAGGAGCTGGAGGAGGAGAAGCGCAAGCACGAGCACACCACGGCGCAGGGCGACGACATTACCTACGGCCTGGAAATGGAGCGCACCAAGCTGAAGCAGGACCTAGAGGAGGAGCGCGCCCAGGTGGCCAAAATGGAGAAGGACCTAAAGAAGCTGCAGGAAACGCTCGAGTACGAGCGCAATCGGCAGAAGCAGATTGTGCTGCTGCTCATTGCGGAGCGCAAGAAGATCTTGATGAAGTACATTGAAGAAGGTGCGTATGGGCGACGCTCTCTAAGCCACTGATTAATTATCAAAATACCAATGTTTCACAGGCAAACGCTCCGAGGACCTGGCCCAAATCCTAGCTGAGGAGAAGCAGCGTTCGGACACCATTGCCGAGGGCCTCGAAGAGGAAAGCAAAAAGTCACTGCGCATGGAGGAGGAACTGGAGAAGCAAACACATGCCATGGAGCAGGAACGCAAAGTCCTGTTTGCCAAGCTGGCAAAGGAGGAGCAGCGGTGGGTTCGACTGTACCCTTGATACAACATAATCGTCAAGCTTAATCATATTTCGTGTCTTTTATCCAGGGTTAAGGAGCTGGAGGCGGAACTCAATGCCCTGCGCGGCGAGAACGAGGCTCTGAAAAAGCAGCAGCCTCTGGGGGGCAGCGGCTCATCCGTGGCCGCCGCCAAGGCGCGACAGTTCAGCGGTGAGTTGGCCAGACGAGGCACTTCCACAACCTGGAAACTGGCTGTTGTAATTATATATGGTTGCCCTTTTTATAATTTCTCTATATACAAACTTTAACTCTATTTATATATATTACTTTTTTTCGAAACTCCTCTTGAAGCCGAAATCTTTTGTTAGAAAAAATGTTACGCAATTGCAAGGTGATTTGTTTTTTGTTTTGTGATGTTCCTTGTGCACACCACGTTGCACCAACCCAACGATCACGCATCCGCACGTCCACCCCGCACGCTCGCACATCCCAGTCATTGGAGCACCCTCCTTTTAAAAGCCAGAACGTAGTCAACTGTAGAGTTTTTCACGACCATGCCGAAACATATCCACACAAGCATGGCCCAGGCAGAAGCCCTTTGAGCGGCTTCCAAGCTTTTGTGGCTTCTGCCGGGGTCAGCTCGCCTCGGAGATCCGAAGATCGAGTGTTGAGCAACCTGTTCTTAACCAAATGCTAATCCAATCTTTCTGCGTTTTCCAGACGACGCCTGTGCCACGCCCCCTATGGCGAACATCGCCAAGATCGTGCAGCCAACCGCCACGGTGAGCAGCATGCCGGTTACGGGACCACAAACCGGCATCGCCCGCTCCATAGCTCCGGGCCAGAACATCCGGAGCGCTGGTATCGCAACGGCGCCCACGGGCACGGCCACAGCAGTAATAGCACCACTCTCGGCTGTGCTCAACCACACCACCACCAGCACCACGAACAACAACACCACCAGCGGCAGTAGCTCGGGCGCCAGCGTTGGAGCACCCACTGCATCGGTGGCCGAGGCGGCTGCTATTGTCACCGTGCCCCTGGTGGCGCCACCCTCACCCTCTCCGGCGAAGATGCAGCCCACGGCCACCATTCAGCGGGCGCCAGGCGGCAAATATGCCGCTTTGGCTGCGGCAGCTGCCCTCGACCAGACGGCCACTCCACCGCATCCTCATCCCGTGCCCATTGCTGTGCCACCGGTCACCGTGCCACCAGCGGGAGCTCGTGGTGCACCGCCACCCATACCGACAAAGCCGATCGTACCGCCCAAGCGGGAGCCCTCGCTCTCCCGGCTGGGCTCGATCACGGGCAGTAGTGCCATAGCTTCTGCCACGGCGACGGTGGCGGCCACCGCCACCACCACGACCACGGCGAAGCATAATTAGACACCCCACTCAGACTCAGAATCACATTATTAACCGATATTGGGCGTAGAATAAGCGAAATACTCAAGCGGCGTAGTCCCTCGGTGACCGCGCTAGGCAACAGGATCTTCCATCTCGAACTGCCATTAGAAATCCATTCCTCGTTAAAAAGCTGCCTTTTTATATGTAGATTTTGTTCGGCTCGCAAGCCATTGAAAGTCAATATTTCCATGCCTGTCACAAAAATTAAATGCTTTCCTTCTGTTTATATGTGATCTGATCTAATGTTAAAGTCAGGGAAATAACTCATTTACAAAGTGTTTCACTGACCAGTAAACATAACTTTAGCTCACCTTATAAACATTTTTCATGGTTTGTGTTCTTAATTCCACTTGCAAAAGATTTTAATTCAAATTTTACATTTTTAAAAGCACTTAAAATTTGTTTGTAAATGGAATTCTAAACATTAACAAGTACTCTTGTCATTAATTTACTTTTACATAATTTTTTTTATTTTAGCAATTTTACAATTTTAAAATTTTTTTTTAATCAAGTTAATTTAATTTATTGTCCGTTTTATACCTGCGGGATATTTATTTTTAAAACTAGAGTGGATCTGAAAGGTCCATTTTAGTAAAACCCCATTGAAGTTGACTTTTGTCAGTTCGAGATTGGAATCTTATAAAAGTTGAAAGGTTTTGATTATTCAAGTATTTTCTGTTGCCTAGTGTGATGGGCTAAATGATAATTTGGCATGCAAAGTGAGTAGGAGAAAAGTTTGTTAAGCATTAGAATGAGGAATGTGCAGTGCGACCCACCCCGGCGGCTTCTCATCTAAGTTTAGTTTAGTGTTTATTGTTTTTACCAAGCGAATGATATATGTATTTTATAATGCCGTTGGCGGTCCGAGGGCCAAGCCAGGAGACAAGCGACTTTAATTGTAATTCCGTACGTAGTAACCGAACATTTGTACAAGGCCGTGCGATTCTCATAACGATTAACAACCAGAATATATAGTAATTATATACTTACCCACAGATATATATATATATCCGCGCATATGCATAAACTTATGTGTACTACCCTTGTGCTCTGGGCGTTGTTTAATAGTTAATAGGTGCGTCGTATACGTGTGTGTAAACTTCCTTTTGTGCAGCTAAAGTACTTCGTAGTGATTGATTTTAATCTTGTTTTAAGTTTGGCCTAAGCAGTTTTGGTTTGCCGCCTAGCCGATTCCAGAGAGCAGAGCAGGTCCTATAGATTTACCCTCGCCGTCTCTACAGTAGTGTAGTTTGCCAGGACACCATCCGTTGGGATCCAGCAGGCTGGTGCTGGCTTTATCCTTATTTTACAAATGCGTACTGTGAACATCCCTCCAGCCCCCCCAACAGCTTGGATTTCCTTTTAGTCAAAGGGCAGCAGCCAGTCAAGTAGTGTTGTTGGTACAATAAATAGCAAAGAGGCACAAGATATAAACAAAATGCGTATGAATAACAAGTTAGCAATGCAAACAATCTATAACAAATTACGATGTATTGGAAAAGCGAAAAATACAAAATAAATTACACTAAAAATGCATTCAAAATCACGCCACCGGCATTGCGTTCTCAATGATCAATGCCCTGGCCAAATTGCGGGCGCAGGCCAGACGCATGAGGTTCAGGATCTCGTCGACGTTCTCCACTCTATAGTCCTTGAACACGGTCTCTGTGTGGTGCTGTGAATTCAAGGATTATTTAACGATATTGTAACAGTGAAAGACATAAACATACGTTGCCATATTTGGACACATCGCGTTCGATGATGGGAACCAATTCCGTTTCAATATGGTGAAGAATGGCCACCGTTTCCTTGGCAAAGATTTTCGGATCCTTGGACTCCAACAGGGGCATAGAATCGATGAGCAGCGAGGGCCAAAAGCTAATGGAAGAAATGTTTGTTGTAGGATTTTTCAAATTATAAACTCATTAGCTTACTAGTCTGGCGTGATTCTGGATTCCAAGAGATTCACCAGAAGCTCAGAGGCAGACAGAAAATCGCGGGTGCGATAGAATTCGTAAAACTCATAGTACTTTGAGAGGAAAACCAAGCGCGGCGAGATAAACATTCGGCCACCCACGTTGGCTATGGTGTCCGGGCAAAGCATGTTTCCTGTCCTCGAGTAGTGCTACGGAAAGGACAACCCATTAGTTTGAAATATGAAAACAACAAGAGTTTGTAAATACCTTCAAAATAAAGTCTGCCACCGCCGTCACCAGCAGAACATCCTTCGAGCGAATGGCCCACTCCAAAGCATTGCCGTAACGCTCTTTATCGTAGGATTGCTTCGAAAGCACCTTGCAGATCTCCTGCTCCACGCTCGTGAGTCCTCGCTGTCTGGCCAGGTTGATCAACTTGGTGGCCTGCCGCTCGCTGCGCAAGGAGATGCGGGGCAGGAGCAGTTCGATTGCCGCCTGGCCCTCCTGCTTGCAGCAGTCTAGATAGTCGATGCCCAACTGCCACAAGTTGTGGGACGTCATCAGATAGCTGCCGTACTCATAGATCATCGAATGACGCAGGGCAGGAAGATCGCTGTGGGTAAAAAATATCAAATATTATCTTTCGATTAAATGCAAATCTCAATTAATTTAACCCACATGTTGTTCTGATCAAAGTAGCTCTTCAGCTGACCGCAATGATGGATTAGATCAATCAAATGCGTGGAGAACCAATGGGTATCGTTCAGTTTCTGGGCTTCGTATATGAAAAGTTTTATATCGTGGTCCATGAGCTGCGCAACCATGCGGTTCATGCTGCAGAGCTCCCTTTCCGGCCGCAGCAGATGCCAGCGGTTCAACCAATTGGCGGCTGCTATCCTCAGCTCGAAGGGTTTGCAGGTGGGCTTGGTGAACAGCAGATATCCGGGCAGGTATTCATAGCAATCCTGGGACTCCTTGATGCCAGCATCCCATTGCTCGCTGTTGCCCACGACCAGCTGGATAACCAGTTCCAGCTCTGGCTCGGTGGCAAATACGCCGCTCTGGATCTTGCGCTCTGTGTCCACGTGCCAGTACTCCCACTGCGAGTGAAACTTCTGCAGAGCATAGCCCTCTTGGTACACGGGCATGGACTTCAGGATCAGTTCGGCCGCTTTGAAGGCGGGCTGCCCGGTTTTGCGATTCTGGGAGAGAATGGCACGTGTGACATCAATTTCGCCCAGCATAATCAGCGACTTGAGGATGCTCCAGTAGTCATCCGATTCGCTGGCCTCCTCGGCCATCAGCAGCAGATCGGTGGCTCGGTCCTCCGTTTGCGGGGAGTGGAAACGTGCCCAGTCGAGCAGTTGGGGCACCACTAGCTGGTTGTTCTGAATGTAGAGAATCTCGAAGAGATGCCACAGGCACTCGGCCGCATAGAACACTACGATGGCATCGCTGAAACGACGCAGGCGAGGCTCATCCGTCTGCACATCCGGCGACTTCTTGGCCTGCTCCAGCTTCTCCAGGCAGGAGCGCACGATGCTGCGGTATGCCCGTGATATATTCACATACTCAGCCCGAGTGGCCCGTGGACCTAACTGCTGAAGAGTGGCAAAGGTGGCGTTCGCCTCGGCCAGAACACTACGCAGCACAGGCTCATCGAAGAGTGTGGTCTCCTGCGTCAGATAGATGAGCACCGGATCCTGGCCAGCCGTTTCGGTGGGGGCGTCCCGCGATTTGTGCGTCACATGCCGGTAGGCGCTGAGTGCGATTCGCGAACCCGGCAAAAAGACGCCGGTGAGTGTGTTGCCACAACGTGTGGCCAGGGAATCGCCTAGCTCCTGTAAGATTGCATTGGGGGATTAGCCAGCTAGACAAGGTTTTTAGTGGACACTTACGAAGGCGGGCACGTTGTTATCGTTCATTTTGGCTTGGAGTTTCTGAAATTATAAACAACGTTCTTCAATAGCAGAAAGTTATCGAGCCTATCAGTGTTGGTAACGCGCGCTTCCTCACAGTGCGCGGAAATGCCGTACTTTTAATGTTCCGTTCACACATGTCCATAAAAAACAAGATATTTAAAAATATTATTAGTTAATTTAGTAAGGGCATCTTCAGTTTAGATGGACTATGACAAGGAATGTAATAATATAGCCTTCATTGTTATTAAAGACATTTTTTTGTATTGTATTTGTAAGGTAACGCAACTAAAAACATTCATAGACAGATACTTCAATGATACAAAGCTTTCAAGAACTCAACAGCGATTCTACTTTAAACAGGCCTTTAATCAGGTATTCAACAGGTAATAAATGAATATTTATATTTGATAAATATTTTGGTGCTTATCGGCACTTAGTTAATCGAAGCTTTAATCCCCGCAATGTCTGGCAACGTCGCCGGTAAAATGCGCGTGTTTCTTCCTCTTCCTTTTCCGCGGCGAAGCTCTTTAAACTGAAATATATTTGCATTTGTTTGTTCTTAAATAAGAATTAACAATGAATCTGGAGGACATCTCGGTGGTGATGAAGCTATGCGACGACAACGTGCTAAAGCTTCACGAGAACCTCCGCTCCTACCAGCGCGATGTGCGGCGCGTCAAGAAATTAATGACGAAAAGATGGGCGAATGTGGAGCGACTGGACAGAGGCATCATGGCTCTGCACGACCAGTTGGTGGGCAGTCTCAGCGAAGTGAACGCCTATATCATCAAGCTGAACCTGCACATAGAGCTCAACCGACCGTTGGATCGATTTACGGAGGAAGAAAGATCGGAGGACTCCTTGGACGAACTATGTTCACCAAACAACGCGTCTTCAAGGGCAATCAAAGGAGCTAGTTCTGATGAAACGGATGAACAGTCGCAGGAGCAGGCCTCCATCGAGAAGAGTCTAGAAGATTCCGCGCAGCTGGTACCCGTTGATCTTTCCTTGCGTTTCGTGGAGTCCAGTATGTCGTCTTCTCAGTCGTTTGACGAGCCTAAGGTGGCTATTCCAAAGTCTCCTGAACTGGCTCCCACATCTACTCCTAAACTAACAAAGACTCCAAGCAATGGATCCCTTCTTTCCCCTAGAAACTCGAACCAGACGATCAGCAATGATACCTCCAAACAAAATTCCAAGAAAATAACTCAATTGGAAATTAAAGAGAACCCAATGGTCATTAAGTCATTCCCAGAAGATGTAAAGTTTTCTACCCCAACCAGCATTAATGTCTCCCAACAAAAGTCCGAAAACAAAAGTCCATTGCAAATGGAAGAGACCCCAGAGGCCACTAAGCCTTTCCAGGAAGAACGAAAGGCTGCTAATCCCACCAGCATTAACGTCTCCCCACAAACGTCCAAAAACACAACTTCATTGCAAATTAAAGAGACTACAGAAATCATTAAGGCATTCGAGGATGATCCAAAGGTAGCTACTCCAACTAGTAGTAATATCTCCCAACAAAAGTGCAAAACCACAACTTCATTGCAAATTAATGAGACCCCAGTGGTCATTAAGCCTTTCCAGGAAGAACCAAAAGCTGCTACTCCCACCAGCAGTAATGTCTCCCAAAAAACGTTCAAACACATAACTCCATTGCAAATTGAAGAGAGTCCAGAAATCATTAAGTCATTCCAGGAAGATCCAACGCCAACTAGCAATAATATCTCCAAAGAAAAGTACAAAAACACAACATCATTGCAAAACAAAGAGATTACAGAAATCATTAAGACATTCCAGGAAAATCCGAAGGTTACTTCTCGCACCAGCAATGATTTATCCAACCTTGTCTCTAAAAACATAACTTCATTACAAACTCAGAAAAACACAGCGTTTGCCACCTTGCCTTCCACTTGGCTTATTGATCCGTCCGATCAGGTTCCTACTCCACCATCGGCAACCATTTCGAAACTTCCAAAAACTCCCAGAAAGCGAACGCTCTTGGCCCCCAAAGGTGGCACCCAGACGACCAGCACAGGGATCTACAATCAAATCTTGAGGAACATGGCTGCCTTTCCCAGCAGAACCTTGGTCGCCGCCGCATTGGTGCATGTGAACTTAGCGGACGATTGCATCTATGTGGCCAAATGGGACGAGAGTTCAAAGAGAATTCAGAAAGTGCTCCAGGGACAAGTGGCTCTGCAGGAATTGGATCAGCTGCCCGACTACGGAGAGATCTTTGCAGTCCTCGACAGTAGCGACAATATTACTACTCGGATGACCATTAATAGCAGTTGCGCTGTAGGAGGCTATTATGGTTATTTGATCGACTATGGCGAACACATTCACCTGAACGGCTACGAAACTATATATGAATTACCCGACGATATAAAACGGTTGCCGGCGGAAGCCATTAGAGCAAAATTAGTCAACTACGATATTGCCCAGATGAAAAGCTTCCTCTACAGTGTCATTCAGTTGCGTGTACTTGAAAACAATGGCATTGAACTGGTGGTGGAAGTGATCGAGGATAACCTCAGCAAAGTAAGGCTTTCCCTTAAAAATAAGGCCGACGGTGAAAGTCGTGCGGAAGTAAGCGAGGCAGATATGGCCATGCTAAATGAAATTGAAGAGAGCACCAGTGATCCCCTGAAGGCAGTGCTGGGCTTTAGGCCCACGGACGAGCAACGCATTTGCCGACACTACAATCCAAAGATAAATGGGTGCTTCAAGGGTAAGTTTTTGTGTGTAAGCTCAAAAAATTGGTTTAATAATTTAATCGTATCATAATATAATCTGTATATTCAAAGTGAGTTTGATATTTTTAAATGCTATTGTAGAATCGCTTGTTTTATTTTCAAGGCAACAACTGTCGATTGGTTCATGAACCCCTTGCCCCGTTTGGCGCCACCAAGGATGTGGAGGTAGCTGGACCTCTTCCGGAAACCGTCTTTGATACACCAGTGCCATTTGAAATTGGAAGCATTGTCCGCATCTTGATCACCTTCATCAATGGCCCTACCGAAGTTTATGCCCAGTTCTTGGACGGATCTGCTCCGCTGGTGTGGGAGGAAAAGGATGTGCCCGTGAACAAACGACACTTCAAGCGAAAGCCACACATTCTGGACATTGTACTCGCCCTCTACAGCGATGGCTGCTTCTATCGCGCTCAGATAATCGATGAATTGGATAAGGAGTATAAGATATTTTATGTGGATTATGGCAACACAGAGTTTGTCCCACTGAGCTCCTTGGCTCCCTGCAACGACGTGGAGAGATTGAAGCCCCATCGGTGCATCAGTTGTCATATAGAGGGTGTTATAAGATCAACATTGCTGACACATCAGGAGACGTTTGAATGCGTTGAGTACCTGAAGAGCAAACTGCTTAATAGGGAGATGAATGTTAGGCTGGTGAATCGATTACCGGATGGTTTTATGATTCGCTTTTTGGGCGATTGGAAAGAAGTGCCGCGTCACCTGATAAATCGCAAGTATGTCGACCCCGTCAATGGGAAAAGGCGTGATTCCGACGGCGAGGAAGATGAAAATCAACCTCCGGCAGGTAAAGATTAGTATGGCTATTAAAATCTTTTTGTTGGTTTATCTTAGTTTAAATCATACTTATTTTTAAGTGTCTAAATGTTTCAATTCAAAGACGAAAGAGGGACTTCATTTATCCCAAATTCAAAGCAACTTGACCTTAACTTACCACTACTACAATGCTTTTGAAATTGATTTCTGAACAAACGTTTCTTTTAATCAACATAAATTGTGTCAGCTTTATAAAGCTATATTATTCACTTTAAGAAACTTGTTATTTTTTAAGCGAAAACTGACATTTTCATTAAGCTCATAATGTTAATATTTGTTTTTGATGGACTCATTTATTGTTTTTGAATTAGTATATAACCTTCAGTTATGCCGCGAGGCCTACGAAATAAACTGGCTATGTTCCAACACGTTATCCACATGTCAAGTCGCCTGATTAATGTTCTTTCTTGGGGCTGGTCCAATTATGAGCGCGGAACAGCAATCGGCAAATGACAAACACAAAACTGTCTCGGAACTAAAACAATAATAATAATTGCCTTTAATGTGCAAAAGCAAAAAATCAAAGGACACTGTTGTGGTGGTCCTGGGGAGCAGGGATCTGTCGGCGGGGTGCTAATAGATTATGCCGCAACGATTAGAGAGGCAATAAATAACACCTGGCCGGGATCCCATGCGTGTTCGCTTCGTCTGCGCACATGAGGACAACACTGGCGACAAGTCCTCCTAGTGTCCTCCATTGTCCTCCATTGTCCTCCTGGTGTTGACAATTTAAACGGTTCGGCCAAAAGGGTAATGGGCCTTGGCCAGGGGTGATTTTGGGCACAGTTCAACAGGGATCATGACCAGGAATTGCTGGCCCACACAATTGTCATACTAAAATCAGTTTTGGGAAGCCTTTTCCCTATAAAACACCTGCAACAATCCTCATGCGAGTGGGCCAACCCCCGAGGATAATTAGCCTGGTTAAGTGTCAAAAGGATGGCAGAGCCCGCGACATGTGTTCCCAACATAATGATGATGATGACCACCAACCAACCGAAATAAACTACCCCGAAACTTGGATTTGCAGGAATTTTACTAGACGATTACAATTTTGATGGAGTATTTCGTGTGCGTGTGGACTGCTCTGCGAGAAACTCAACTTAATAAACGAAATGGTTAACGCAACGAAATGAACGATAAAAGGGTCAGGACTTTAGTAGTTGGATCCACGCTGGGTACAGGGTCCACTGGAGATGGATCCGGGCTCCAGGCTCGGGCAGTTGACCTTCTGCAATTCGGCAATGCGCTGCCAAGTCATGTTGAAGTGACGCACGGAACGGGCATTGGAGAGCTTGGCAATGGGTCCCAGGGTGCGGTATCCATTGGTAATGAAGCGTATGAAGCCCTTGGCCGTAAGATCCAGCAGAGCGGTCTTTATCTGCGATTCCAGATCCCCGCAGGCAAAGGGTCTGGAGGTGGGGCAAGTATAAAGTAAGTTAGAAAAGATATTCATATAAAAAAACACTTTTTTATAAATATACAATGGAATATATCATTAAAATATGTAAATATGAGCTATTTATAATTTTTAATAAGATTAGGAGCTCTATTTTCGTACAGTTGTGAAAAAGTTAACAAAAAAAGGTAGTAATCTTTATCACGATTACATGAACCACTTTCTTTTTTTGTTAGAAACTAAAATATTTTATTATTTCTTACTCCTTCTCAAGCATCTCCAGGATGTGCTCCTCATGGATACCATTGCTGTACTTGGGATGGTCCTGGAAGATGCGCACCATGTCCAAAATATAAAGAGGCAAGTTGATATGGTAGCTGTTGAAGGGAAGCCGCAAGGTTGTGGGCTCGCAGTCCCGGATCGTGCCCTCTTCACACATTTCTTAGTTTTTTATAAGATTTTATAAGAGATCTTTACTCTATGGAGTTTTTGAGAGAACAATATTCTAGTTTCCACAAAGGTAAAGCCTATATTTGGAAAGTTATAGGCAGGGCCCACTTGGTCATGCTCCAGGACATGGGTGCTAATGTCATCCAATTAAAGGTGTCATTAACGGTTTGTCCATCGTGGGTCCCCGAGGTTTGCTCTTCAATTACTGGCCAAACAAACATCGAAACAATTACATGTTCGGCCAGCTATATTACCTGGTAATTTGTCTAACATATAAATAGCCTGTGTCCCAAAGTGCTCCTCCCAATGCATTAGCAAAGGTCTCTGGGGTGTTTCCGAAATTTGGGATTTAGTGGTATGGTAATGCAACTAATAAATACAAGCGATACCAGAACTTCATTCGTTTTATGTTTTATTTTGGAACTACAACATATCTTGCTCAACCCTTTGAATGATATTAGAGACTTCCTTTGGTTTTCAGACATGTCACTCCGGCACGCAATCCATTATTCCCGACCTCAACTCTCTGTTAGACCAAACACCATAAACGACATCGGTGGCATGCCAGTCAAAGGGTTAACTATGGCCCAACTTTTGCCAACAGATAATAAATTAGCGCATACATTATGAAACGTTATAAGGATGCGACTTCCGGTTACAGGGAGCGGGAAGACCCCGTGGCCCAAACTGCCAATTTGCCCCGGCAAACAGGTGACACTTTCTCATCCTGAAAGGGAACGGGTTAAGGAAGAGACACGAAGAACATTTACATATCGATGGTTATATGTGGGGTCTTGGAGTTGTCAGGAGCATATTCGGAAGACATGAAACTTCTCCGATTTTTGAAGAGTCATGCTTGATCAAATTGAAGTTACAAAGACTTTTTGATGTCTTAATAGGGTAGATTGGCTAAATCGGAGCTTCTGACTTTGCAGTTTTCAACTTATTTGTTTCCGGGTTACCAAAATCGATTGACACACTGTAATAGAGCTACCTACAATTTTGAATATAAACATCTTAAAACACTTAATATATAATATATATGTATTAATGTAGTATACAAATGTTTTTGGAAAATAAAGAGTAGATATTTATAGTCTATTATTAAAACAATACGTCATAAAAATAAAAAAAAACTACTAAATCAAAAATCATTAATGAATATTATAAAAATATATACATATTGTTCTCGCTATACTTAACAATAACATCGTTTCGACTTTATAATATGATGTTTACAACAAACACTTCTTAAATTGATGATATGATGATAGTTCAAAAATTGATATTTTCAAAATATGGTTTTCATATCATGATAGAATTAAAACAGAATGTCAACCAATCTATTATAAAATCTTATCAACTTTTGTATCAGTTTAATTAATGACGATTTTTACATTTTTAATCAAGTACCCCGATTTAATATGGGTTACTCTTAGTGAGTGCAATAAGTCGGGGTTTCCGCCACGCCTCTTTCAGACTATTACCGCTGCTTATCGAGGAACTTGCGTCTACAAAATGTCGGTCGATAGCCGCAGGTCCACTGCCATTGGTCAGTGCCAGGGAAATCCTACTGTTTTCCGCCCCACCGCATAACAGTTGACCAACTCAAGGGACCAGGGACTTGCTACACCCCCGTGGAAAAGGTCCTAAAGGGGGGTTCTGGGACTGGGGTTTGTAATCTGGCTAACCAGTTATATGAAGTCCTTGTAACCGGGCAGCACAAATAAATGCCATGCTGGCCGGGCCAAGTGTCATGTATTTGACGAATAATTACCGTCAACATTGCGTGATTGGTTGAATCAGCCGGCGAAGGAGGGTTGTGGCTGGCTTAGAATTAGCCCCAAAAAAAAGGGGGTGGCTTTGGGGGGTTTGTGTGACAAGAACCTATAATTACCACGCCAGGACTTGGGCCATAACTCAGCGCAGGATTCAGACACAGCCCGGCCGTTGGCGCGAACGGAAGTTCAGTTCAGTTGAATTGAGGATAGAAAGGATGCACTCGCCCGCCCAGTCGCCCATTCTGGATGTCACCGAGACCGTATCGCTGCACTCCGAACTGGATGCCGACCTGGAGACCAAGAAGAATCCGCCCTACGCCTTTCCTACTCCCCAGAATCTTCGGCTGCCCGGTTTGGGCTTTCCCAGCATGATCGGTTCGAAGAGATCCCCCGAATCTCTGCCTGCCTTCGAGTACATTGCTCCGCCAAGTCACGCTCTCCAGGCCCTGGAATTTCCGCTCATGGAGTTGAATCGCGTGGGCGTGATCGGCGGCGGAATGTTTCCGGGTTTCATGCACCGGCGGGTTCGCGGGGAGAAGCGACCCATTCCGGAGGCCCAGAAGGATGCCAAGTACTTCGAGCGGCGCAAGCGGAACAACGAGGCGGCGAAGAAGTCGAGGGATGCGCGCAAGATCCGCGAGGATAGGATAGCCTTTCGGGCGGCCCTGCTGGAGCAGGAGAACTCTATACTGAGGGCTCAGGTACTGGCGCTCAGGGACGAGCTGCAGACGGTGCGACAGCTCCTGGGGGCCACAACTGCCGGCGGCATGTTGTCCATGGCCAGACAGGTGTAACTTGGCAGCGAGGACCACCAAGGAGCAGCTGGATCAGTGTACATATCAGTGAAGTGAGGAGCAATAGAGAGCATTTGGTTCTACAAACTTTTGTTAATAAATGTTTAAACTTATCGTCTAAGATATCCCTAAAATATATGCAAAGATGTTCATTAAAAGTGTCATGAACAATTTTATATCATTTTTACCATTAAATAGTGTTAAATAGATATTGGACATTGGATTTCTCTCTTCGAAGATTTTCTAAAGTCGGTAAAAGGGTGAGAAAGTCATTCATTCGAATGCTATACCCTCTAAATAAGGTTTTTCTGTATTCTGAAAGTTATATTGGTCTAAAAAAGTCAAAAACGATACGGAATCCCTTTAAATAAGTATTATTTTATAAGTATTATATTTTATCAGTGTATTAATATTTAAAATACAATCCTTACTCGTACACCCTTAAACGAGAAGTAATCCATAAAAATGGGCAATGGCTTTTTAAAATTGTAAAAACGTCTGACAACTTAATATCAATAGTTAAATCAGAGTTCTTATTTAATATTTAAATACAAGCCTCATTCTAATGCTTGAATTCTATCCCTATCTATTTGATCCCTTTTTCTACCCAAGTTATAAAATGCTTATTGTAACCTTTAAGATATCTTTAGATTGTATTCAAATCGGGTAGGACTAGATCGACTTTATTTGCTTTAAAAAAGTTTTTAACAGACGCATACAAATTAGAAAATATTTAACAAGCTAGTAGTCAAGTGTGTGCACTTGCACCTTTCCAGTCGCGTCCAGGATGAGCAGGACCTGCTCGTGTCCAGAACTACGAGCTCCTGCGACATCCGTGACTTTGGAGCGACTTTCCGCAGGCTGTTCACTGGACACCTCCCTGTCGCGGTAGAAATCGTAGGTGCGCACCGTTCCATTGGTCAGGGCAGAGAGCCGCCAGCCGTCGCTGGAGAGGATCAGGGCCTGGACGAGGTGCTGACGCAGGCCGCTGCCGCTGAGGAGCAGCTGCTGGTCAAATATCCTCATTTCGTAGGAACGTCTGGGACGCTCAATCTGCTCCAGAGCTGTATTGGGTCGGGGATCGTAGGTGGGATTGGGATTGGGATCCACCTGCTGGTCAAAGGATCTTCGCTCGTTGAGTATGATGTTCTGGATGGCGCAGGACTTGCCCGTCTCGGGATCGGGCTCATCGGTGGCCGGCGGAAGTCCGGTTTTGGGTCTCTGGAGATTCTTCTGGCGCTGCCTCTGTCGCTGATTGCAGTTGAGGATCATTACGGATCCATTGGAAAGACCCACGGCCACATAGTTCTCGTTGGAGAGCACACATAGTGAGGTGGGGAACAGGAAACGACTCTCGTTCACAGCGATCCTCGAGAACCGTTCCGTCTTCAAGCTCCTGGTGCAGCAGAGCACAAAGTTCCGATTGGTGCACACGTAGATGAGATCACTTCCCGTATCGATGCTGGTAAAGCGCATCCCCTGCAATCCCTGATCCTGCAGAGCGGTGGTCAGCGTTTGGGTCTCGTTCAGCTCCCTCAGCAGGTCGTCGCTGTAGATGTTGCCCTGGAACAGGGACTTGGTCTTCTCGTAGGCACTTTGCTTGCTCCTCAGCAGGCGTCGCTCCAGATAGCTCCTCAGATCACAGCTGGCACTCTGCAGCAGCTTCACCCGAGCCCACGGCGAGCTGAACTCGTTGCTGTTGCTGGACGAGGCTCCCTCCACCAGAGTCCACATGGTCAGCAGGCCAGAGTCGTTAAGGGAGGCGTACTGTAAAGGGTTATGATTTGTTTGTTATATATAAATGTGATTTAAGAAAATCAATTAATTAAAAATCATTGACAGATCTAGAATATTATCTATTATCAAATACTGTTGACCCACCTGGACTTCCTTGTAGGCCGTCTGCAAGCCACCAGCTATTCCTCCTCCTTTGAACTGAGATCTGAAGCTGCGCACATCCACCACAGCTCCTAGATCCATGGCATTCACCTCCTGTTGCTGCTGCTCCAGCATGGGAACCACTGATTGGGTGGCTGCAAAGTGGGTCAGGTGGCCATCCAACTTGGAGCAGTAGCTGTGCGTCTCGCGCAGATCCCACATGGCCACACTACCATCTCTCAGTCCGGCCACCACGATATCCTGGGCTTCGCCAGAGATTGCCACGCGGCTGACCTCCGCCCAGGTGGAAAGCAAACGCAACGGCTGGCCGGGATTGGCTAGTGACCACACCATCAGCAGGCTGGCAAAATCCTCCTTGTAGACGTTGCTCTCCTGGGGACATTCGTGGACGGTGACCACCAGATGTCCGTTGCCGGTGCTTCCAAAAATTCGACGAACGGGTAGAGCGTTCAGCAGTCCCGTCTGTAGTGGTATATTCCGAGGACCGCTATTTTGGTTTGGGTGTTTATTGCCCTCTAGAACTCTACCCATAAGTCGGGCTGCCTTGTGTAAAAACGTATTCAGACGGTCCAGATCCGTGGTTTTGGCCAACCTCTTTTGCTGCACCTGCTGCGAGCGATTCTGATCCAGACGATGCAGTTGCTCCAAACGCAAAAGGCTAGCTTCATAGGCATCTAATGGCTGGTTATCCAACAGCTCATCCATCTCCGCATCACCGCTGCAGCTGAGTACCAATTGACCACCGTAGTGAGGTGGATGCTGGGTCCAGCTGCTCCGGCTGTGCACCTCCAGCGTCTGGCACTCGCCGTCCATTTGCGGCGACTGCGTTTGCGTGGCCAGCTGGCAGGCATTTAGCTTGCCGTAGCTCTGCATGAATCCCTCGTAGCTGAGCGGCTTCATCTCGAATAGGTGGTAGTTGAGTTGGTCAAAGCGCAGCTTGGCCATCAGCTCCTCGCCGCGACGACTGATCACGGGATGGGACACGAATCCGGAGTAGCCGCCGTAGTACACGTTGGCCTCACCACTGCTCGGCTTCTCTGCTCCCGTGGTGCTGATGCCGGAGTCCAGTTGCTCAGAGTTGGCCATCGAGTTGGTATCGAAGCTATCGTACTGATTCTGCGTGGACTGGCTGCTCAAAGGATTCCTGCGTAAGTGCAAGTCATAGTGGCCAGAGTCTAATTTGCGTTCCTGATCTTTATCTTTCTGGATCACAGTGATGGGATTCTGGGTGGGCTCCGAGTCCTCTTCCGGCTCCTCTTCTTCCACTTCTGCCTCGGAGGAGGAGGGCTCCTCTGCCGCTTCTGATTCTTCCTCTCCTGGCGTGCTGGCATCCGTCTCGAAATCGGATTCATAGGACTCAAAGTCATCGGAGTAGTGATCTGATTCCGGATCTGGCTTCTTGGTTTCCTCGAAATTAACTTCAAAGGCCACGGGCTGTTTTACGGGTGGCGGTTCCACTTCGCTCCTCTGCTTGGCGGATTCGCGCTTGAGAACCACGACTTCCTCAGGATCCAAAGTGCGGGTAAAGGTTCTGGCTCTTGCTGGTGCAGCAGGGGCATCTTCTTTTGAAGGAAGTGCAGCAGGAGCATCTCTTTTTGAAGGAGAAGTAGTAGATTTATGCTCTTTTTTCGCCTGAGCAACAGGGGAATATGCTTTTGAAGTAGGTGTGGGTGATTCCTTCTCCTGTTTGGCCTGTCCCTTGCGCTTTTGCGGTGGTGAAGCCACTGTAACACTGTGGTACGTGTCCAGAACTGCATTGGGCTTGGATTTGGCCACGGGCTGTGTTTTGGATTTCGACTGCAAGGGTGGGTTTGTGGTTGCTTGTCTGGTGGTAGTGGTGCTCGCACGCAATGCACCTGGTGACGGAGTGGTCCTCTTGCTCAAGGGTTCCCTTTCCTTGCTTTTCCCCGTGCTCAGTGGCTTTTTGCTGCTCGTTGATGTGGTTTTCTTGGCAATTTTTTCACCTTCCAAGCTATCTGGTTGCCTGGCCAGTGACCTTCGTTCCTTTGTCTCCCTTGTGCTCGCCGGGACACTTGTTGCCGGTGATTTGGTGACCTTCCTCGGCACTTCCGTTTTGACCTACAATTTGAACAGATTTTTGAAATCATAACGTCTTTTCCTGGTTTTGCAGCACTGTGTGTTATGACTTAACAACACTGGCCTTATCCAAACATTATTTTTTTTGGTGTAGCGATCGGTTCGTTTATTAGTTTTAATTGAATGCTATTACATATTTAGTGCAATATTAACATGCTCAAGTGTGTGCTAATCGGCAATAAAGCTTCTGCTGGCATTAATTCGAGGACTAAAGGTGGTAGACTAGCTGCATACCGGCTGTAAATGGTAAAATGCTGGCTTTGTTTCTATTTTGTGGGAGTGAAAGTGCGAAAAAGTCTGCAGATAAGTGAAATCGCTGGCGGCTTACTAATCAATCGAAAGGTGTACTATACGTATGTGCGTTTCGTTAATGGTGCTTTGCTGTTTTCGAATGCCTTTTTAACGGGCTTACGTTCTTGCTGCTCGTTCGCGTCGCATTTTTTGACATTTTAGTAGTCACTGCTGCTCCTTAAAGTGCCAAATTTTAATGCCAATAATGGGAGTTAATGCCGGAGTGCCACGTAAATTTAATCAATCGTAATGCTGCTCAGTTATGACATTTTTCCTGTTTCCTGGGCAACCAAATCCTTGTACATAGCAACAACAAATGGGCAAGCAATAACACAATCAGCTGATTGGCCAGTGTTGAAAAGCGCTGCCATGTTAAAAAGCAACTGGTAGGTATTTAATTCAAGTAACTAAAATAAGTATGTAATTAGTTATTACCTATGTCTTCTTATAAAAATTAATGGTCATGATAAAAATAAAAGCTCATATATCATTCTCAATTAAAACCATTTTTAAAAGTAACCCCCACCGATTACGTAAATCTATCGATTATGCTATCGATAGCTACCTGCCAAAAGTAACCGCCTTTTGAAAATTCAAAAATTCAAATTGGTGATACAGCTTTGTTTGAAGCTCTTGTTATTCTTAACTTAAGTTTAGCGTAATATCACAATAAATAAGATTAGATTTGAGCTCGAGAGACTAGGCAAAGTGACGGTACACTGCCAAAAAAAAGCAGGCAAGCAAAATCCCGAAACTAAGGCTTGATTTCGTGGCTCCACTCTCGTCAAAGTTCTTGTAGTACTGGGTATTGGTGTACCGATCATAGATGTGCTCCATCACCCGCTTTGCATTGTCGCGGTGCAGCTCCTGGAGGCCCAGCAGCCCATCGGTGGCGTCATGGAACAGCACATTGTTCCTTTTATCGAAGATGCCAAAGAGGGTAAACGGACGCGTCTCACTCTTGTACTTCCGGCCAAACAACTGATCCATATCCCTCAAAGAGTTATAGATCTCGTTGCGCCTTGTCAGCGTGGAATTGTGGGTCATCAGGTGGCCACGAGTGGTCCAATGAAGGTAGCAGTACTCAAAGTTGGATCGTTTCTCGATGCCTCCATAGGGGCACAGCACCCGGAAGTCCTTGTGGCTACCACGGGCCAACCAATCCGAGGTGAGATTACCGGCCACATACTTTTTGTACACATCGGAGCTCAGGAAGGCCACATCGGCGCCCTCGGAAAGGCAACGTAGAGCACCCTCATCGCCCTGATAGTGCAGCGGACATTCCCGACCCTTCTGGGGATTCCACAAACAGGAGTCGCGGTGGAAGAAGGAGTGCAGCGAGTGCACCTTGCCCGTGGCATTCACTATCGTCTCCTGGACGGACAAATGGGCTGCGCCCTCGTACGACGGCAAACATGCCCTGGCTCCCCGCAGATCCTTGAAGCTCTGGAACTTGGAATCCTTGTGCACCACGGCAATGGTCACATACCGATCATGCATATCTGCAGCGAACTCGTACAGCAGTGGCACCAGGTCATAGTCCCGCTGGGCCTTCACCCGCATCTCCTGATCCACCAGCACCACATCGGCTGCCTTGAACTTGGTATCATCCAGGCACTGTTGCACATCCATGGTCCTCACACACTGGATATTCGGTTGGACACCATACACCTGAGAGGCCTCCTGCAGCCAGGAGCACTTCACATGCTGAATGATGGACGTGGTGCAGAAGACAATGGAACGCGGTGGATTGCATTCCGGGAAGCTGTAGGCCGACTGAAAGGCGGTGGCCTGGTCCAAATAGTCATCGATGGCTATCACATTGTCTAGTGGAACAGTGAAGCTGTGGTATGTCTCCAGAAGGCTCAGCAGGGCAGTCTGCCAGCTGTCTGGCTCGTCGTGAGTGAGTCCAGTAACCAGGCGCTGCACCTGGGCGGCATGGGTGCGCCGGGCAGCCACCACGGGCCAGGGCTTGGCCACCCAGACACATGGTTGGCTGGCGTTCATCGGCTGCAGGTGGCCATCTGGACACAGGTAGCTGTACTCCGAGGGATTCGCCTGAGCCGCAATGCCAGAGAACTGAGAAATAATTAAATTTTAATGATTAACTTCACCTTCTTCTAAAGGATATATCCTGCGAGCTCACCCCGAAATGACTGCGCACATCATCCAGACGAGCCCAGGCCACGTTGCCACCACCACTGGTCAGGCAGTAGAGAGCTCCACGTCGACCCCAGTGCTTGTCGGTCTGGTCACAGCTGTCGGGCTCGTAGCACATCTCGCACAGCGAGGGATAGCGGCTCTTGAGGATGCGATCCTGCTTGGGATCAGGCACCCAGGGACCTGCCTTGCAGCTGGGACCGAAATACTTGGCCGTGGATGCAATCCGATCCTCCGTGACGGTCTTCTCGGGATCACAGGTCTTGGAAACCATGGCAGATTCGAAGTACTGCAAAGAAAACGTTTTAGATTGGGCTCAAAAACTCTGGAGGGGATTACCTACATTGGCCAGGACCTCGGTCCAGTGATTGCCCAGACCGTAGCCAGGATGGCACAGCTTGGCACCTCGAAGATCATGGACTGTGTGGATGTTGGCTTGGTTGTCCACCACCGCCACAATTTCGTACTCAAAGTGGGATTCGTGGGAGCGCAACTCACTGGCCACCAGAATCTCAACGCTGGCCCAGCGGGCGGCCACCAGATCCTCCGAGGTGAGCACCCCAAAGTGGGCAGTGCCCTTGTGGATGCGTCTCACGCAGTCCAACCGGTCCACGCCGATGACGCACTCAATGTTGCTCTTGGCCTCCAGCAGCGGGCAGAACTTGGGGGTTTTCCGATAAATGCCACGCGATTCCACCACACAAACCCGCACTGAAAGGGGAGGAGCGAGTTAATACATTTAGTTTCGGACTTCTGTATATCTAAAATCTTTATTTATAATCCGGTAAAAACCTGTTGCCAGAAGCGGCATTAATTATGATTATCTTTTTATATTTTTTTGGATTTTTTTTAGAGCCTCTCCCGCATGCAGTTTTCGGTGGAGATATTATCTTGAGGGTATTTCACTCTTGTTTTTTTAAGATTAAAAATTCCCCTCAGGTGCGTCAGTTGAGCGGGGGAAACCTGAACAAGTTGGCTGCATTCGCAGAATTGGCATAAGGCTGGGAACTCAAGACAAGGCAGTTCTGCCGGGCCGGGCCGCTTTTTGGGCAGTGGATCACGAGCTCCAAGGTCGGGACTGGTTTTTGATCGGCTTTTTTACTGTCTCTAGCGGGTTTTGATTACACACAGTCGTGGGCCCCAAGGTCGGCTGCTCTCCCGCAGTGCATTTTGAACTTAAGATCCATGATACGAGGTTTTCTACGCGACTTTCATGGCTAATTGCGGGTCTGACTTTGCAGAAATTTCAGTAAAAAGTTTATTTTTATGTGATGGATGTATTTAAATTGACTAACATTGTAGCTTGGGAAGATATTACGAATTCGAAATATGCTAAGTAACTACCAATTCAGTAATTATAGACAACACAAATTTACATGAAAATTAAGTTGATCCATGGCTGATCTGTTACAACTGCTGTATTATTATTCAACGTTTGTATTCATATTTGCTGGATGTATTTAAATAGACTCACTGACGTTGTAGCTGGAGATAATATTATGAATTTGAAGTATGAATATGTTAAGTAATTATAATATTGATCAAAAATTGGATGAGGAGATGCATCAATTATATATTAACACTTATAGATGGTTTTTCTTCAAAAGCTTCAAAAGTTGGTACATTATTTAAATAAATACAATAATACAGCAGTTAAAAATATAAATATTAATAAGATCTTCTAAAAACATCATTTAATAACAGAGTAATTGATATAACAACCCACTCCAGCTTAGGCACGAAAATGACTCAATTAATTTCCCAATTTGCTTTGTTTTATTTTTATACTTCCAGACGCAAACAGATCCGCCCCCTCGGCTTTAATCAACTTACATTTGCCATCATCCAGCGGTTCCAGAGCTACGCACATTGATATTGATAAGACCGAGGCGATCAGCCCCACCAAAATATATGTAAGCCAATGCATTTCTGATTGCGTCAACCGAAACTCGTTAATTGTCACTAGAGATCGGCGACAAGTCGGGATTAAGTTGGTTAGATGAGAACGCGTTGAGAACCGCTTGCAAATATATGGATATAGATTCTTGATACGAAGTGCAGGGTAGTCTCAGCTTCGAAGCCCGAACCGCTCGCAGTGGAAGATCGACGGCGACTGAAGCCAGCCCTCCCAGATGCTAGCGAGTAAAACTCGATCCGAGCGATCCGTAAGCTTAGGCTGCAGAACGAGATCGCCGGCGGAACAGCGGAATAACAATGAACTACGCACAGCTGATGAGTCAAGCTGGGGTTTTTTGGATAACTCTCTGATTGATTAGCACCTCTAAACAGGGGGCGGTGCTGGGAATAGGGGGGATTACCTGGAAGGCAAACCCAGTCTCTTCTGGCCGCTCCCCAATCTGTAGTTTATCGATGCCGGGTTTTATGTATACAACACCATATTTGATTGACTGAATCCTTATCGGGCGACTCGACTTATCAGCTGCCATACAAACTGCAGGGCTTTCAGCATTTTCTTCAGTCTCTGACCGCAGCTCTTGGCGTCCGTATATAACCTGATCTCAGACATATCGTCACTAGTGGGTGGATTATAATCGCGTGAACTTAATTGTTTGGCAGCTAATTAAAAAGTCACTCTTATAAATATATAATTTACCGTTCGGCAGTGCAATCTTATTGTATTCAAATGTTTTGATCGATACAGAAAAGTAAAACATTCCTATGGCTTCCCTGTTTTAACCTTATAACCATTGTTCAGCTTTAGTTTATTCACGCACTTTGGCTTTTTTGCAGTAACACCCTTATTATTTCCTAGGGATTTCCAAATCTCTAATTTGTTTTTGATTAATGATCGGTTTTGGAAAGTTGCTGCTAGCCATTATTATTTTCGGGTTTGCTAAGTATAATTTTTTCTGTGTCAAGTTTACGAGTTAATCGTAAACCGGTTTTTATCTACAAAGTACATACACTTTATTCCAAGCCATATTCAATTTACACAACACGCTCTAACTAATTGAGTTAAAGCCCTCAAAAGTGGGTATCTTCGACATGCCTCAAAGGCATATTTATTACGGCAGGCCCTAAAATCTTTATCACGCCTGGGAACTTAATTAGACCAAACATTATAATAGTATTAGTCCCGATAAGATTTGTTATTCCGAAAGACTTATGCTTTAGCTTATCATCCTAGAACTTTTATGCAGCCGATTACAACTTTCTATATAGTCTGGCCTAACTTCTTATCACACGAAGATTAGATATCATTTAGCAGTCTCTGATTTACATCCAAACCGCTGGCTATTTACAGACTAATTCCACTAGACGACAGATCTTTTCCAACGTCGAACGGTGAAAGACGAAAGGCGACGTGCAAAAATAATGATCTTATCTGGGTAGAACCACCTTCTCACCTGGAGCAAACTGAGGATCGCATGGAGACATATAAACTGTGATATATTTTGTCGTTTTTTAACTCAACGATAAGCCATATTTTAAGGACTCGACAATGGTGCGACTTAACAAGCGCCTGCTGCCCATCAAGGCACATTATTTCTTTTTCATGGCCGGTAAGTTTTAAGATCTAGAAAAGGAAGATCTATGCCATCCTAAATTATTATTATTTCACAATAATTGAGCGATAATAATCAATTCTCGGTTTTGTTTCATATCAGAAATACTCTTATCGGTGACATTATCCAATATATGAAGAGAAAATCTGGTAAAACGTTAAGGCCTTATGACACTTGCTTTGTTTTTGACTAACTGACTGGACATCATTCAAAAATCATTGCAAGCAAAACATGTTTTAATAAATTAATTCATAGTATAGACCCTTTTTATACCCGTTACTCGTAGAGTAAAAGGGTATACTAGATTCGTCGGAAAGTATGTAACAGGCAGAAGGAAGCGTTTCCGACCCCATAAAGTATATATATTCTTGATCAGGATCACTAGCCGAGTCGATCTAGCCATGTCCGTCTGTCCGTCTGTCCGTCTGTCTGTCCGGATGAACGCTGAGATCTCGGAAACTATGAGAGCTAGGCTATTGAGATTTGGCGTACAGATTCCTGAGCTTCTTACGCAGCGCAAGTTTGTTTCAGTAGACTGCCACGCCCACTCTAACGTCCACAAACCGCCCAAAACTGTAACTCCAACAGTTTTGATGCTAGATAAAAAAACCTATCGATTGACCTAAAAAAAAGTTTGTCACGCCCACTTAAACGCCCACAAACCGCGAAAACCCATAAGCCCATAAGCCCATAAGCCCATAAGCCCATAACGCTTAAATCTGTCTACCGCCGGTAGGTGGCGCATTTTAATCTCGCTTTGCTGCTTGCATATCTCCATTTAGCTGAGTAACGGGTATCTGATAGTCGAGGTACTCGACTATAGCGTTCTTCCTTGTTTCTTTATGTTTTCATGACTTCAAAATAAATTCAGTCAGTTAATCAAAAATCAAACAAGTGTCATAAGGTCTTTAGGTCTTTCTTTGTGGAAAGTTCCACTGGAAATTAGCTTTGTGCGTTTTGTAACCTAGTTATTACTACAATATTAATATTTACTTTACTGTTATACGTTAATTTATATGTCTTATTCTTAACTTTTATAGCCATGGGACCCATACTGCCCCAACTGCCGGTGATTGGCAAGCAAATCGGGGTTCCACCGGATGTAATGGGCTATATAACGGCCATTTTACCCATACTTTATGTCCTGGCCAAACCCATGGTGGGTTTCCTAGCTGATTATTTTACGGTGAGCTTCAGATAGTCGCTTACATATATATTTTTCAAATATTAATACCCACGTTCACTTTACAGAGCCTGCGCAAGTTCATCTTCATCGCCCTTATCCTGGTCATGACCCTGGCCTTTGCTGGATTTTACTTTCTTCCTGACGACACACATTTGATCCCGTTAGAGGAGGGCAGTGCCCAATGGAATGTGACGGTGCTGGAGAATCCACAAGACTGCAGTCCGAATATCTACTCATCTAGCGCATTTTGCCAAACGACTCACCAGGCGAAATGCACTCAGGAAAAGGAGGAATTCTCCGTTCTAATTGTGGCCCATGAGGCGGGTCTCAATCTCAGCCAGAACCTGCTCCATGGCAACGAATCGCATCACATTTGCCTTACTCAACCGGCGACCAGTGAATGGAACAACGTATCCTGTGAAGTGCGCCCAGTGGACAGCTGTATCTATGGAGCTGGCAAGTTCTGGCTTTTCGTGTGCCTACTCTGCATTGGAATCGTAGGTTTCAACGTGACCAACTCCATATCCGATGCCTGTTGCTTTGATTTGCTTGGCGATGAGGAGGAGGGCAAGTATGGAGCCCAACGGGTATGGGGCACCATTGGCTTTGGAGCCACCGCCTTGCTCGCTGGCATCGTGGTCAACTGGTGGACCTCGGATGCAGTCAAAAGTCTGACTCCTGCTTTGATCATCATGTGCGTGTTCAGTTTGCTGGATCTGTTCAGTGTGTCCAAGCTGAAGCTGCCCAAACTGGGAGGATCCGAGTCCATTTGGAGCGATGTCTGGCAACTGGTTCGCAAGCCACCCATCCTGGTCTTCCTGTTTTTCGCCACCATGGCTGGCATCATTGACTCCTTCATCATATACTTCATGTTCTGGCACTTGGAGCAGGTGGCCGAGGCCACTGGCTATATGCACCAGATCAAGCTTATCGAGGGTCTCGTGGTGGCCGCCGAGTGTCTGGCGGGAGAAGTGCCCTTCTTCTTCTACAGCGGCAAAATCATCAAGAAACTGGGCTATGTCCACTGCATGAGCATGTGCTTTTTCTTCTACGCCGTGCGATTGTCGCTGATTTCCTGGATACCCAATCCGTGGTATCTGGTGGGCGTGGAGCTCTTCTTCCAGGGCATCACCTATGCCCTGTGCTACACCTGCATCGTGGCCTACGCCTCGGCAGTGGCGCCTCCGGGAACCTCAGCTACGGTCCAGGGATTGATGGCTGGAATGGATGATGGTCTAGGGTTCTCCATTGGATCTCTTATCGGCGGACTGATGTTCAAGAGCCTGGGAGGACGTGAAAGTTTCAAATACTTTGCCATTGCCGCCATTTGCACCTGTGTAGCACACATTGTGGTGCGTCCCACGTCCAGAAAGCGGCAGTTCCTGCCGAAACAGGGATACCAGCAGCCCTTGGAACAAGAGATAAAACAGCCACCAGCTCAGGAACTTCAAGAGATTCATTAGTTATAAGGATATTCTATATATAGTAGTGTTTGCATATTTTGTTGCATATTTTTGTACGCCTTTTTACGACAATAAAACGAGTTGTCCGAAAGTTGAACGACTTGGCTCTCGGTTAATTGCTTCATTGTTGGCGCACACGCGATCTCAAGTGCGCCAGCCCCTCCAGCTGTCAATATGGTTATATAATACCTGAGCACCGTACAAAAGAATCCATTGAAAGTGAATCTGGGGCCAGGCAGATGCCTCGCTTAAATGGCGAGCCATTCCCACTCCATATATTAACGAAACTGGCCCGATCGGCTCGAGAATCGAAAGCCTGTTCGACACTAATCTGCAAAACAGAGATTTCAGATTGCTATTCTTAGAACTCCTACAGAAATATCAGTTAACCTATTATCCCCTTAAAATTTTACTTTGCTGTCGCAAAACAATAAACATTTTTACCAGTCGTCGGATTATATGTTTAATTTTTGTATTGTCAGATTGGTAAACATTGTTTTTGTAAAACTATAGTAATATACATCCCTAATCCTAAGTTGTCATTACACTAAAACTAATGTTTTAAAGAATTTTCACATTTAATCTATATGGTACTAGGAAATCTATACAACTTTAATTTAACTTATAAAATTAAGAAAATATACATTCTGATCCTTATACCTTATGGTACAGTACACATATGTGTCCGATTTAACATAAAAACTTTCTGTTAGTCAACGGGCCACAAATCTTTATTATTAAAACATTCGTTAAGTTATCTTATATTCTTTTGAATTTATCACGAAACAAGTGTCATTAATCATTTGATTCAAATGCTAATCCGGCGAAAGAGATTCTGGTTCAAAAGAATTGGCTTATTATAGTAGCACTTAGCACTCTGATCTTTGTCGCCTAGTGTACATAATTTATGCTCGAGAGTGGGCCACACTTCAGAGCTGTCCAAATGTGTGCTTGTAAAAATTAGATTGGCCCAAGTCACCATGCTTTAGAAGGCTATAAAAGCGATGATTCCCAATTAGAAACGGTCATTGTTTCCAAAGATGTGGCCCATTTGGCTGCTGGTTCTCTCGTTATCGTTATCACAGTCTAATGGAAGGCAGGTGGGCAGATGCAGTTTGGCCCGTCAGCTTTATAGATATGGAATGCCCTACAACGAGCTACCCGACTGGCTGTGCCTCGTGGAGGGCGAGAGTTCCTTCAGCACGAAGGCCATCAATCCATCCAACGCGGATGGCTCTGTGGACTGGGGTCTATTCCAGATCAACGATCGCTACTGGTGCAAACCCGCGGATGGTCGTCCTTCCAACGATCTCTGTCGACTGCCCTGCCGCCTGCTGTTGAGTGACGATATCCGGTATTCAATAGCCTGTGCCAAGTATATCAGGAAGCAGCAGGGATTCTCCGCCTGGGTGGCTTGGAACAACCGCTGCCAGGGTGTCAAGCCCAATGTCAATCACTGCTTCCGGCGGAGGTACAGGAATTCTGGTTGAGTTATTCCAGGAGTTACCAAATAAATTTGACTAAAAACATAAACCACTTTTTGGTAATTTTAGATTAAGCTTGTAAAATAATAATGAATGTATAAATTATGATAAATAAAATAAATGATTAAATTAATAAATTAAGAGGAATTATATAAAACATGTTTCAAAGGTGAAATTGACTTTTGGCTTTAACAATTATTGGGGTAATCACATTATAAATATTGTAGACTTGCGCTAAACCATTGTATTTCTACCTTCATCTGTGAACCTTAAAGTAGACCTCAATAAATGGTTTTAAAATGTTTAACGAACTAGGCAAAATCACAAAATACTTTTAGTCAGTTCAAAATAAACCGCCAAGATGCTTACCTTGTACTTGTAGAATGTAATGTATCTTGACATGTAAAAAAAATATATATATATATATATTCTAGACTTTCACTAAACCATTGTATTTCTACTCTTATCTGTGTACCTTAAAGTAGACCTCAATAAACAGTTTGAAAATATTGAACAAACTAGGCAAAGTCACAATATACTTTTAGTCAATTCAAAATAAACCACCAAGATGCTTACCTTGTACTTGTAGAATGTAATGTATCTTGACATGTAAAAAAAAAAGATTACGCAGAAACCTGGTAAAATATCTGTTCAGCCATGTACATAATTTATGTTTTTTCTTAATGAATTAGTTTGGCAGTTTTCTTTAGAAAAATTGCCTCTTTCTGGTAAGTCGGCTTTTTCTCTTCTGATTCATCCATTTTTTAGCCTCCGGGTCTGGTTATTATATTAAGTTCCCTTTGATATAATGATTTGAGGTATATCCTCCAAAGTTATAGTCTTTGCCGATTATTGGGCACCTGTAATTTACTTAATGAAACTTAAAATTTTCAACGTTCACCAAAGTCGGTATAATTTTTAGATTTGAATATTGGTAAGCCGTTTTGCTTGGGATTTTTAGTATTTTAATTGAAATTAATACTATCTAAATACCAATTCAATTCATACTTAAAATACCACAAAAGTTGGTGTTTTCAAACACTGGCGTTTATAATCAGCTGTGGAAAAAGCGCGCTTGGCCAAAAGCGAAGTAGTAGCGGGTGAATTTTGTTCTTCGACTGCAAGCGCGTGGATTTGTGCAGATTGACGGTAATTCAAGTGCAGTTAATTGGCCAGCTAAATAATTCTAAAAAAATGAAAATGCACAAAGGCAGCAAATAAGAAAAAAAATAAGTGAAGTTGACATTGAAGTCGCAGCGCGTGTGTGTGTGTGCGTTTGAGCTTGTGTGCTGGTGTGTGCAAAATTCTTTTGTGCTGTTTTCTGTGCATAAAATAATTGCAAAGTAAGCTGAATAGCGAATTTCAAATGGAAACGGCACGCTTCGAGCTCGATTAGTTGTTTTGTAAAAAATCAATAAAGCGTTGTAATTGTCGCCGTGTTTTTGTTGTTGTTGTTGCTGCGGCAGGAGTTTCCGTCAACAACTTTCGTCTCTCTCGCCTCTCTCTCCCTCTCTTACGTGTATACCCCTCTCTCTCCCACGCGCGGGGTCTTATCTTGTTTACACATACTTATTTGTAGTTTTACTATATCGTGTTGGATTCGCATTTGTTAGATACTTCTAATGAAATTAATTGTACGCTTGTTTTTTTCGGTTCGGCACCACACAGGAAGCAGAAGATTTCCAGCTAAAAACAACGCTAAAAGTAAAGGTAAGCAGAAAAACGAAAATAATAAACAAAATAAGCACGGAACTTTTGACAAGTTCAATAATCGAAAGTACGCCTCTATTGTCCTCTCTGTTGCACGCACGCACACGGCCGTATGCTAATTACAACGGTTCATTGCTCTGCTCATCGAGATTTTGACATATTGTTGCTGTCCCCTTTTGACATGTTGCGGCGTGTTTCCTCAAAAGGTAAAATAATGCAGCAGCAGCTGCCGCCCGATACCGTTAAACTCGTTTCTGACTCAAAATGCCAATTGTTTTCGTTAGCGCTAACGTTAATTTGCCTTTTTTGGCCAGCTCGCAATTTGCCTGTCCCGCAGCTAAGCTCTCTCAAATTTGTTGCAATTAAAAATTGATTTTCCGTTTGCCAAGTCAGCTTGTAAATATCTAACAACAACCAAACGGACAAACATTGGTTTCTGCAACAATGAAAAAGCAATTTTCCGTATCTACAGCTAAAAAAGAAAAAACGTTAAAAACTCAGTCAAGGCATTGTGTCTGTTTTGTTGTTGTTGCCATTCGCTTGCCACACGTTTTGCGGCAGGCTATTGTCGTTGTTGCTGTTGTTTCCAGTATATGTTGCAATGCTGGGCATGCCTAATTTTCGGTTTAACAAAAGTTAAGTACTCTGGCTCTTTGAGCTTTTGCCCGTCGTTAACAAAACCGTTTTTTCCTCGTTGGTTTTTTATTTCTCTTTATAAGCGCGGGCATCAACAATTGACAACTGGGGCCAACGAAAAGCAACGACATTTCTTTCCCCTCAAAAAATGCTCAAATTATTTCGTAGCGTGTCCGATTGGCATCAATTGGGTGGCGCTAGGCAATTGCAAAGAAGAAATTCAAAGAAAGCACACAAGAAAAGCCAAAACAAACATAAATTTAGTAATTACCGATAGCTATTAGGTCTATAATATATGCATACACAGCGGTGGTAAATCAACTGGGAAAATCAATTTCCTTGTTGTTTGCTATAAGTAAACATAACTTCAAAGACCAGTTAAATACAAAATTAAGAAACTCTTTTCACCAATAATATTTAAAACAAAAGCACTTCCCAGTTATCATGGAAGATTTAACCTCAGAGGAGCATACCTTTCTTTGCTGATGACTGGTACAACTTAAGGCAAAACTGAATTTTAAAACACAAAATTAAAAATAAATTTTAATACTAAATTAAAAAAAAGTGAAGCAAAAAAGTTTCCCATACCGGGAATCGAACCCGGGCCTTCCGGGTGAGAGCCGGATATCCTAACCACTAGACAATATGGGACTTGTGTGAACGGCGGTCAAAGCGTGTTCTTATTCTGGTCCTTAGCACATGTCCCAAGTCGCTTGCGGCAAATTTCTATTTTTAATTTCATATTTAACAAGGCACAAAATTCCTGGAAGTATACTTATGTATACTATTTTCAAGTAGATGGAGGCCAGCATCATTATATAAGTTGGAGGAATGTAGAACATATCCCATATGGTCTAGTGGCTAGGATATCTGGCTTTCACCCAGAAGGCCCGGGTTCGATTCCCGGTATGGGAAGTACTTTTTTATTTTTTGTAATTAAATCAATTACCCTGCTTTACAAGCCCCATCAATCTAGCTCTCTCTCCCACTTCTCTTCAATTGCATCGCACAAAGGCATCAATTGGTATGGAGTCGAAAATCAGACAACAACTCCACTTATTGACCTGCACTTAGAGGCGGTATAACACGAAGCGTGGTTCAAGTGGTGTTTTAATGAGTCTCAGCTGGGTATGATCCGGCTCAATGAACTTCCTCGGCCCCCCGTGTGGCGTTTTCCATCAAGTGCTGCAGCTGCAACTCAATTTTCCAAGCATCGTTGCTGGATGGAAAAAACGGCTAATTCATCAAAAGTGTGGCAGAGCCGAGAGCCAAAAACAGTGGGCCATTGTTGTTGCCAATCACGCCCACTTTTCGCTGGTGTCCGCCCCATTCGATGCATGCCGCCTGCCAGTTTCTTGCCACTTTCCAAGTCAATTGAAAAACTCGTGTAGCTTTTTATATGCCATCATCATCATCATCATCCGTAGTATGCCTGTTTGTTGAACGAGCTTATGTTTCGTATCCAGGCATTAGAAGCGCGTGTGAGTCGTACGATTGAGCAAGAAGCGAAGAAAAAGGTAAAGCGTACAAATTACCATTTTTTATAGTTTCTATGTGAGTATGTTTTCTGATATTTTTGTGTTTTTTTTTTATTCCTCAAAGAAAGCCAAGCCCCGACAATCGATGGCAGCGTGTGAGAGAAGACGGCAACTTTTTGGTTTCTGTTAAACGTTAAAGTAACGCCAACGCCGCCTGAGCTTTGTTTTTATTGTTAAACCAGTTGATCAGTTGAGCGACAGCAAGAACGAAAGACGCCAGCTGCTGCTGCTGCTGTCTATATGGTATGGATGGTATGGGTACTGGTATGGGGTATATATCTCTGAGTTGCTCACCCGACTTTCCTGCTACGCTGGCTGCATATTAAGCGCCCCCGCTGCGCGCCTGCGCGTCCAACGACCGCATTGTTTGTTGTGAGCTGTCTAAGCTCTGTTTGTTTTGCTTGATTCTGTTTTCAATTCGCATCTGCCAGCCGGGCCAGCAGGTAGGAGCCCAAGTTAATTCCGATTGGGTCCGATCGTTCGGATCTGCAAGAGGAGCAGCCTTAATTGAATTGTTTGGGGCAGCCTCGACCATTTCCGTTCCGCTTCCCGAGGATGAGATTGCTTAACCCTCCTCAACTTATTTTCAATGATTATAGAATAGTTGAGAAACGTTAAAACAGTTTCTTTGAAATCAGAAAATGTGCCCACGGAAACGGTATAATTTTATAATCTTAACCAGCACTTTGAGCCATTTTCTCGTCCTCATGTCAAACTCAAAGTAGATTCTAGTCTCTACATTAAAATACGTCTTCGAAATTTAAAACTTTTATTTTATCATGAGGAAAAAAGAACACATTTGTGTTTTGAGATACCAACATTAGTCACCACTTGTTTCATTTTCATTGTCTTTCCCATGGGGAGCTCTTTGGATGTTAATTTGTAGAAAATGAGTCGTACTGACACGACTGCTGAAATAAAAGAAAATTCCAACGAACTCAGTAATGGGGCTTCAGACTTTTAAGTGTGCTTTGTCGTCTATCGCCACCATAAAGGCAATTAACATGCAAACTTTACCAAAACAATCAATCAGTTAAAAGAGCCTCACGCACTCCCCATTTCTTTGTTCGGTTCTCGACTTTCGTGAGGTGCAGCTGGAAAGAAGGAAAACGTGTAAATTTCGTTTGACAGTTGACAGTAGGAGTAGAAAAA